AGCTAAGTAAGAATGCAACACAGCTGAGGTGCGAATCCCGCTGGTTGAGAGAACAGAGGAGAGGAAGGCGGAAAAAAGGCAGGTCGAGAGAACAGGGGAGAGAAAGGCGGAAGAGAGGCAGGTCGCGCCGAGCGGACCTGACATGGAGGTCTGCCTCCAAGATTAATGCAGTATCTTAGCTGTTCCTAGCACTGCACTCTTCTGGATATATATTTCAGATTGTTTTGGAGGTTTGCCTCCAAGATTAATGCAGTGTTAAAATATCATACTTGAACCAAACTCAGTCTGTACTTGTCATACAGCAACATGCAAAGGTTCTTGGCACCTTAGGTGTTTAGATTCTCGTAACAGCGACCATGAATATCAAGCCAGAGTGATAAAGAACTATCTCCAGAGACAAGGAGAACAAAGCATTTGCACCTGAGTCCTGACCTCTACATCATGGAGTAGATCTGGGATTACGTGAAGAAACAGAAACCTGTGCCCAGTACTGTCACTGTGTCAGTATTATATGTTTTCCAGCTTTATACTGTCCAACCTTCATATTCTTACTTTATTTTCCCTGTGAGGATTTTGCCAGCGTGCTGCATTCCAGTGAGAGCAATGTACATCCTCAGGATTTCATTGGTTCCCTGAAATCAAACAACACACGCTTTTAATGGCACACTATCAGTTTCACATGCATTATACACCAAGTGGTGGTGCAGCAGTGAATGGCACTTATGATGTTTTTTCTCAGCTCCATATTATTATGAGCCTACTTGACAATGACACTATACTACTGCAGTGCTTACTGTTATGTAACACACATTCTTGCACATATTGGCATTTGCACACAGGTATTTTATGCACATTTACTTTATGTATAACTTATGAATACTGTATACTTGGAACATGCTGATAAATTTTTATATTTCTATACTCATATCATCATACTTCTTTTTTGTATTTTAGACCTAGATTTTATACAATTCTTGATTTTGTTGTGCTGTGATTTTGGTAATTATTGCTGTTGCTACTGGATACCTGAATTTCCCCTGTAAAGTATCTATCTATGTGGTCAATTGAATCCCTGTGATGTCAAAGTCAAACGTGCCACCTGGTGGTCACTTACAGAGTGGATCACCTGAACAAGTGGGCCACAGTACATTGTGCTTTCACTCTGGAGGTTAGAAATACAGGATTTTTTTTAACTCAGCACCAACCAAACTCCAGAATGATGGTCTAAATGTTGTAACAGACTTTTCTTTACATCCCTTTTGTTATGGTTTCTTTTGTAAAATTACTTAATAAAATGTCAGCCTGTAAAAACTCAACTTGTGAAATGAGTATAACTGAAGAATGTGAACTCCTCTGTACACATGATGTGTGGTGTAACTATGGCCCTGATTGTAGTGATTGAATAATCATCAGAGAACCTCAAAGATAGACAGGATGCGGCAGTCCCTGACATAGCGCTCGTAGGGGTAATTCTTTGTATAACCCAGACCTCCGAGGACCTGCAGTGCTTCACTGACACAAATCCAACCTCCCTCTGAGCTGAACACCTGGTCAGAGGACAGAGAATACACATCATGGGCTGTTTATTTTATGCCGGTTTAACATGAGCAAAGTGTAATGAGCTGGCTATCTAACCTTGACCATGGCGGCCTCTACAGAACAGTCTGGAAGTCCTGGCCTGTCCATCATCCCTGCTGTCAGGTATGCCATGCTCTCCATTACAAACGCATTCAGGGCCATCACTGCAAACTTCTCCTACAGTCACAGGGCAAACGACTGTTTCACTCATTGATTTTCGAGGTAGAGATAGAGAATATTCACTAGATTCTAGTGACGGAAAAGTCGACTGTACCTGAATCAGACCAAACTCACTCAGGCTTTTGTTAAACTGCTTCCTGGTGGCAGCGTACTCAGAGGTCATTTCTACAGAGTCAGACAGAGGTGTCAAACTGAAGACATTTCATAAAACCTGCACACATAAGCTCTGAGCTGCTGTGCAGGGATTTTACCTATCAGTTTTTTTATCATTCCAGCTAAAGAACTGCCCATAATGAACCTCCCTGAGTTCAGGATATTCATGGCAATCTGTCCAACACAAAGCAAACATTTAAGCAGCTTTACAGAAACAGTCACATACAACAGTTTGTCAAACTTACTTTGAATCCACCTCCTACTTCTCCTATTACATTCTCCAGCGGCACAGGGACATTGTCAAAGGTCACTTCACAAGCTGAAAGAGTTTAAAAGCTTTATTACACAGGACATGAAAAGGCTCAGACTCAGTGTTCAACTTTTTCTCCAAACTCATGGAGAGCTTACTGTTGGAGCCCCTGATGCCCAGTTTGTCCTCAGGTTTGCCGCTGGTGACACCGCCAAAAGCTCTCTCAACGATAAAAGCTGAAATTTTATCTTTCTTCACACCGTCTACAGTCACCTCCGTCCTGGCAAACACCGTCATAATATCTGCCATGTCTCCGTTTGAAATCAAACTCTGAAACCACAAAATGAAACACATGGGCTCTTTGGAGTTTAAGGCAAAACGAACAGTGTGGGTGGATTTGATCATATAAATCCGAAGTCCACATCAAACATTTATGAGCTTCTTTCCCGTCACCTTGGAGCCGCTGAGCAGGTAATGTTTCCCATCTTCTGACAGGGTTGCACGGGTTTGAATGGAGGCTGCATCACTCCCGCTGAAATGATCAAAGTCAGTGTAAGTGAAGCTAAGGCAAACATATACTGAGACACTATGTAAAGCTACAATCACAGTCTCACCATGGCAACAGATCAGTGCTCATTGATTGGTTGGAAGGTATCCTTTAAAATCTTATAACTGGAGTCTTCAAACCCAGTCTGGTCTACATGTAACCAGTGGTCTGCACAAGGACCAGTGTCTACAAACACTTTTCAACATCCTTGGATGCTTTCATATTTTATTTTCTTACAATGTTGAATCTAACTATTTTTAATGTGGCCTTTTCTGACACCACTCAACAGAAAAAGATCATTTATAATCAGAGTCGCTTTTGTTTACTGCAGCAGGGATGTGCATGCTTGCTGTGGCTTGCTCTGATTCATAAATGACACAAAATTAATTCCTCTTCATCTGTGGTCTCAGGTACAGCTTCATTTCCAGAGTTGCTGCACAGATGAAGGTGGATTTGTTGTACAATTAACTGAAACCCTTAACCACAGGCAGGTGATTTCCTCTCAACTAAACATGAGAATAACACCAATGGCTGCACTAGTGAGGATTTGGGTGTGCCCTCTTAATGGGGCTGAACACTAATGCAAGCATGTATTTTGTACTTTATATTGTAATGAATTAAAATACTTTGTGGAGGTCTGTTTTGGCTTTTACGTGAAAGGATTGGTGTCTGTTTACCAGTGTCATAAAAGCCTGATGCCTCCGCCTCGAACCACCAGCACCATGTGAGGCCATCACTTCGGGAGCTCAGGAGCAGCTGAGCAGAGTGAGGTCATCCAGGGCAGCAGGACAGCAGCCTCATTGTGTCATGGTTAAGTTAAACCTTCCCTTTGTTTTACTCTTCATCGTGGTTTATGTTAATAGTTGATTGTTGGGACAAGCAGCTCGGGGTCGGCCCCTGACCTTGACAGGAGACACCTGGCCCAATGTGTGGTGTGTTCCCCTCCTAAACAGCTCCCAGACCCTGAGGAGGGAGCTGGTCTAAGAGGGTGCCAGCAGTTCAGTGATGTTATATGTAGTAGGGAAAAGAAACAGTGACCTGGCCTTCCCCACCCCTATGCTATGCCCCAGAGAACCCCAAGAGTGACCCCAGATTGCATATCCCAGCTGCGGGGGACAAGGCAGCGCATCCCCTAATACAACTTCTGGTTTGTTAATGGTGGAGAAAGATGAATGGGTAAATTAGACAGTCAGATAGAAAATGGATGATTATAATAATAAAATAACAATAAAAGAAAAAATAATAATAAAGCAATTTTGATCATATAAATACAATATATAATTTTGCATACACATATTTATGCATACCCGGATATATATGTATACACATATTCATAAAAAAAAATGAAATTAACAAATCAGTAAATGATTAGAAAGAGAGGAAAGGGGAAAAGAAAGAAAAAGGGAGAGGAGTAGATTATATTCTCTGTGAATCTGGTTTGATTGATAGGTGTGATATACTCAAAACAGCAGCATGAGAAATGAGGACTAATAACAGTAACAATAACAAAATAAACGCAGCTTGTTATATTTCTAGGAGTTTGTGGGAATGTGCGTGGTCCCAGGTACTGTATCTGGTTTAACCCATGAGACAAATATTTGATATGAAGAAATGAACATAACAGGTCCTGTTATGTTCATTTCTCATTTCATCAAATATTTGTCTCATTTAAAGCAGTTATGTTCGTGGGTCATTTTGACCCACGAACATAACAGGAGGGTTAAGTTAAAAGAGGTTAGAAATGGATTCCCAGTGTCAGTAAAGGTTGACATATTATTCTTATGGGTGGGTAATATTTTCTCTAGTGTTCTATGAGAAGGTTGGTCCAGTGGTTGATGTGTAATGAGTTTTTAGATTTCCAGTTCAGAAAGATTGTTTTCTTGGCAATAGTTAGAGAGATAAGAAGTGGGTTTTTATATTTAATTGGTAGGTGGTTGACTTCTGTGACATTACCGAGCAGGCAGAGTGACGGTGATGGATTCTACAGCTCAAGGTGGTGGAGAGTTTCTTTGTCATCGCTACTCAAAGGGAGTAAACAGGTTGACAGGTCCAAATAGCATGGAAGTAATCATCGGTGCAACCCAGAGTGCATTGTGAGCAGGTATCTGTATCAATGAAACTCATTTTAAACATTTTACCTTGTGTGATGTGAGTCCTGTGAATAGTCTTATATTGTATAAGCTGTACGTTTATATTGGTAGTCATGGAAAAGATATTATTACAGATCTCGGTCCAGAAGTCAGGGCTGGGGGGAGCGACAAATCCTTTTCCATTTACCGTAGTTATTGGTATCGTTATTGTTCTGTCTGTATTTGACATTAGTTTATTAAGTTTAGATATAATCTGCTTTGAGTTTGAGAACATCATTATCTCTTCAGCTAGCATGGAAGGTTGTAGTGGGTTGTTGATTATATTGATCTTTGATTTAATTATGGATTTTAACTGATGGTACTGCAGAAATTCTGAATGGTATGAGCTGGTTGTTTTCAAATAGGTGATGAAGGTGGGCAATTCCACTGTGTTGCCATCTTGGAAAGTGGATGCAGTTGAAAATCATCCCATCTCATCCCATTGCACTAGTGTTCCATAAGGTCAATGTACCTTGTCCATTATTTGTAATTTGAATCATAGTCTGTTGTATATTGTACATTACCCTATGTATCTTACTGTAGATATCAATTGTACATATCCATCGGTAAACTAGTTCTGACTGTACATGCTCTAGATCCTGTGCACTCTGCACTGCTGTTATGGCACTTCTGGTTAGATGCTAAACTGCATTTCATTGCCTTGTACTTGTACATGGGTAATAACAATAAAGTTGAATCTAATCTAATCTAAAAAAGCAGGGTTGTGCCAATTTGGAGTGTATCCACGTGGTGTTAATGATGATTTAGTGGTTTTGTTCGCTTTCCACCAGGCTGGCAGAGTAGTAGAGATTGTGTTATTTTTGCAATAGTTCATTTTCTTAATTGAGAGGGGTGAGAAGGCAAAGTCTGAAACTGAAGAATTGTTGCACTGATTTTGTTCTAGTTCAGTCCATGAGCTATTATAACTGTCCTTCTGAATCCATTTAACTAAACATTGTAGTTGATTTGATAAAAAATTATACTGAAAATGTGGTCCTTCTATGCCACCTTGTGATTTCTTCTTCTGTGTGTTGACAGGGAAATTTTGGGTTTGTTGTTATTCCAGTAAATAACATAATAAGTGAATCAAGTGATTTGAACCATTTATCTGTGGCTGTTGTCGGAAGCATTCAAAAGCATTCTTTTGATGCTATTATTCTGTCGTATTGCTGCTGCTAGAGGTTCAATGAAGATGGCGAATAGAGATGGTGAGAGTGGGCATCCTTGTCTGGTTCTCTGGTGAGGAGTGAAACTTTGTGAGGTTATCCAATTTGTGGTTATTGTAGCTCAAGGTGATGTATATAGTGTTTTAATCTAGTGGATGAAAGACTCTCCAAAATCAAACCTACATATGGGCTGAAGAGAAATGACCAGTTAACTTTGCTGAATGCTTTTTCTGCATCCAATGATATGATTGTGGTGTTGGTTTGTTTTTGCTGTGCAAGATTGATTAAGTTAAATAGTCTATGGGTCTTATCTGATGCATGTCTACTTTAATAAAGCCTGTTTGGTCTGGGTGGATTATTATTGGAGTAATGGTCTGTATTGTAGTGGCTAGTGCTTTCATTGGTATTTTTACAGGCATTTATAGTGCTATGTTTTTACAAGTGGGTCACTGTTTTGCATGTGCATGAACACGAACACGAGCATGAGCACATGGATGAGCACGTGTGACTCTACTGATTTAAGCCGGTGGTAATGACAATTTAAAATACAACTGAAATCATGCTTTATGCAAGATTTGATTTGTTGTAGAAAAATGAAGGAGGAGATCTAACAGTACTCTGGCAAGTTAATGCACAACTAGGCCGCACCAGCATGAAATAAAAGTATACAAAATATACATTTCTCTTTTTTGATGCATTTCAGTGGCATTCAGATATTTCAGTATCTTTACCTTCCGGGCTCCGTCAGACAGAAAGCTGCTATGTGTTCTCCAGAGGCCAGTTTGGGCAGATACTTCTGCTTCTGGGCTTCACTTCCCGCTATCAGAATCCCCTGAAACACCAAGCAGCTGTTAGTAACTGGTACTGTAATCAAAGACTAAAACGTTTCCACAGGGTAACAGCTCCCTCCAGTTTGTCCACATAACAGACATAATGAGCTGAATGTTTCATGAACAGCTCTGTTATATTATTTTACTTTCACCTTCAGTGCAAGAGCTTGATGTGTTGCCAGTGTTACTGCGATAGAGCCATCTAATGAGATGATCTCTGCCAGTCGCGCATACATGGTGTTGGACAATCCGAGACCGCCTGGGATGGAAAATAAACACATAGAGACACAGCCTTCAATTTGTTTTATATATCACAGCAGGACTAAAACTACACTTCCAGTGATCTTACCATACTCCTCAGGAATCATGATTCCAAACAGCCCAAGCTCCTTCAGCCCATTCAAAGTCTCTGGAGGGATTTTGGCTTCTCTGTCAATCTTTGCTGAGTCAACTGAAATCATTGGGGGGAAAAACTTAAATTGTCAATTCATCCAATTTCTCAGAAGCAACAAATAGTAAGATTATAATTTATGTACAACAGTGCACACTGCAGGCTACTAATAGCATTTGTAGTTTTACTTTAACACTTATGTCCACCAGATCTCCTCTCTCACCTTCTTCACTGAAGAATTTTTCCACCGGTGCAACAAGCTGCTTGAGCTCCTGCAGTTCTTCATTTCCAATCTCTGGATAAGGGAAGACCTCTGCCTTGAGCAGAAATAGACGATTTTAGAAAATACATAGTGAGCTTCAGCTGCAGGTAAGGTCTTCGTTTTACACTTGGGGGCAATTAAGGACATGTTTGGAGTTTAATGATTGTTTTGCATTTAAAGATATCTTCTTGTGTCAATATGAACTATTTGTGAATGAAGAGTGATGGGGGCCTAAAGGAGGACACAATGTTCTGCCAAAATCAGCAATGTTTTGGTTTTATTTTGGTTATTTCATAGGAGCTACTTCCATGTCTATGCTTTTTTCTTGTTTTCAGTGGTCAGGGGCTGATGAAACACATTTATGAGGTGTTACTTTGCATGCTGGGATATAAGTAAATAAAGTAAGAACTTGTGGAAAAATTCAGGAACATATTTCCATTGACAACATGGAGGAAAACATGTTAATAAAAAGGTAGTTGAAAGCACTGAAAAAAGAGATGTCTAAATACAGAAAATGAACTGCATTATTTGGTGATGACAGCAGCAGTAGTAGTAGTAGCAGAGAGGAGCAGGGCAGTGTTAGAAATTACTAAATAAGTTAGCTAATTATTAGATATTAATATGTTGAATCAAATGTATTAGTAATGCATTTTAGTAAGATTCAAAGTCTGCTCTAGTCTGCTTTGCTTCAAGGTTAGAAGACAGTGTTGATTCTGAAATGTGAGCTACAGTTACCTTGACACCAATTGTTTTCTTGTATTCATCTTGTGTTAGAATTATGTCTGAATGAATGTTTTAGTTACACACCACGTGACAACACACACACACACACATCGAAATTCTTCATTTTGTTATGGCCAGTGGCTCCATGCAGCTGGAGCTCTAGATAAGAGATGGAGACGTCGGACTGTGTCCATCTCGTGATGCTTTGCAATCTTTTTGTGTAAGGGGTTAGCCCAAAACATATAAATGTATTAGACTCTGTGTTTCCGGGATCTCCTCTCTCCAGCAGCCAGAGTGTGGATGTCTGGAGGAAGGAGCCTCCTGGGTTGTGTTTGTAACTTTGCTTGTGGTTTAAATAAATCAGCACTAAAATGAAAAAAGACGAACTCCTTCCTTACTCAGATCTGTCCAATAAAAGAACTGGTGTATTACAGCAGTTGGACTGCAGGTCAGACTGAGACCTGAAGACCTGACCCAGATCTGAAGATGTCCCCCAGAGCAGCAGAGGACAGATGCTGAGCAAGTGAATTCTAACTAACTCTGACTACAGTCATGGCCAAAACTATTATCACCCCTGCATCTCTGTTAGGTAATGCACCACGTCTGCCAGAAAACTGTTGCAATCACAAATTATTTGGTATTCTCATGTTTATTTCTTTTGTTTGCATTGGAACAACACAAAAAAACATAATCTGATCCATTCCAAACAGAAGTAGAGGTCATGGGTCTTACAGCAGGACAATGACTCTGTCAGTGAAGCTGTAAATACAGGTCCCAGAGAGAACCAAGAAACAGAGGAACCAGGGATGAGAGGCGTGAAGTAGGCCTTGGTGCAACTCTGCAGCCTGTTGAGGGGGTGTCAGCAAGGCTGTAAAAACAGGCCTCAAAGAGCACCAAGATACCAAGAAAGCAGAGGAGGAGGAGGAAGTTCCAGGGGAGGTTGGAGAAGACAATGGAATTATTATTAAAATGCTATGTGTAAGATTTGATTCTTATAGGCTCTAGTTACTGTATAAGCTTTAGTTACTTTTCATAACTTTAGTTTCCTTTAGTTACTTTTCAGCTCTTCATTTTCTTTTAGTTACTTTCCATACCTTTATTTTCCTTGCTTATACATATTAAAAACTGTATTGATGACTGGTGTAAGAAACTTTGGAACTGCATGCTGTAACTTCTGTAGAGACAGGATGTCTATATCTCCAAGTAACCAGACAGCCTTTTTTACATTTTAACAAAGACCTGTTGGCCTGTTTTGCACCCACACCTAGACCCACTTAGCATATTCCAAGTTCTGCTTTGTCATGGGGTGTCCTGCAGAGATAGGGGTGTACAACCTGAGATGACCACCTGGCCAGTTTAGCATACTTATTAGCATCACACACACAGGGGGCCTGCAGCCCAGACTACCTATTATTCAATATCCATTGATCAAGATCAAGCTGCCACCTGAGAAACACACACACACACACACACACACACACACACACACACATATACCTGGAGTTTACCACATTTCAGCAAGGAGGTGTGAGCTCCTGGTCACACCAAATGGCCAACAGGATTACGAAGTGTTGAATGTTGTACCTCTGTCCAGGGCGGGCCTAGCCCAAGCAGATAAATGTATTAGGAAAACGTAACTCATGGTTCAGAGAAAGGATCTCCTGTGGGAGCTCTGTCTCTTTGATCCCAGCGCTGTATGACTTCACCTGTACCCAGACTTTGAGTAAACTTCCTGTTGATTTTAAACAGCCCTCTCCTGTCTTCACTTCTCACGCTTCCAACAAAAGAATTGGGTAATTTCTAACATATGGCAGTAAAAGCTATTTTCGTTGTAAACTTCTTCCAGCTCTTTTAACCAGGAACTCCCAAAGACGAAGCAGACCACTTGGATATATAAAAAATAACCGTGCTGGTTTATTCAAAGAATCACAGGTAAAATTAACATTACACATCCAGGTTACTTCCACCTCCAATACTGCGCGCAGGCAGATGAAGTATGAAAGACCATGAACCATAATGCCTATACAATATTATCACTTGGTTGGGCTAGCCCATACTACACAGGGACGTCAAACCGTGACGTCACCTGATATGTCAGCTTTGCAGCTGACCATAACAATAGTCAAAACATGAAGAAAATCAATGTGTGTGGCTGTTGATTAGTGGTGTGTATCTAAGAACATTCTGACATGACATTACACATAAGAAAATATTATGATTACAATTACGGTTACACATATCATAATAATAACAATATCCTCCTGCCTGCAAACTTTTTCTATCTAGTTGTCCTTGGCCATATGCACCCTGCAAAAACTCATGAGAATGACAAAGCATTTAACAGCCTGAGCTAGACAGCCTGGCTCCACTAAACATTCCTAATACAACAAATATCTAACCAACATCTATCTGACTAAAAAATTACCTAACAACCAGAACCCTATAAAAACCCAGGCAAAAAGAGGAACGAAGAGCCCTTTCATGGCTGCAGCCGGAGGCTTTGTCCGGTTGGCCATCTGACTTCCAGGAGACTGAGGACTGTGGGCGGCAGCCAATCCCGGCCGGCAATCGGGCGAACATTCCAGCAGAGAGGTCGAAGAAAGTCACTGATGTTTACAGGAAGTGACTGATATTAGTTATTTTGTCCAGAGGGTGGACTACCAAATATTAAGTTGAGGGTCTCAATAATTCTGTCCAGTCAATTTTTGGAGTTCTGTGTGGAATGGATTAGATTTGGCTTTTCTCTGTCTTTTTGTTTTGTTCCAGTGCAAACAAAAGAAATAAACATGAGAAATGATTGCAACAATGTGATTGCAATACTTTTTTAGGAGAAGTGGTGCATTATCTGACAGAAATGCAGGGGTGCCAATATTTTTGGCCATGACTGTATGTGCCCATTTGGTATCAAATACTAAGTTAAAAAACAAAAAACTGCCATAATGCATCATATGAAACAAGCATGTTCCTCCAGGATGAGGATACAGCAGCTATCTCTCATTGAGTACTGTTGTTTAAGAAAGAAAGAAAGAAATACATACGGGGTGACAAACAGACAGAAATCCCTGAAAGAATGAGTGGTCTCTTCCAGGATGGCAGTGCTCCCATCCTCAAGGAGTCACTGAATGGTTTGATGAGGGTGAAAATGATGTGAATCATATGCTGTGGCCTTCACAGTCAGTATGTCTCAACCCAGTCGAACACCTCTGGGAGATTTTGGCCAACATGTTAGATGGTGTCTCCACCACCACCACCATGGTGTTCATCCCTCCAGTAGTGTTCCAAGACTTGGAGAGTCAATGCCAAGGTGCACTGAAGCTGTTGTGGTGGCCCAGCACCTCACTGAGACACTTCATATTGGGCTTTCCTTTTCATTTGACACCCATCTGTACAGTGTACCCTACTGTATATGAAGCACAGCAGGCATTTGTGATACCCCAGCATGAATATGCATAAATAAAATAAATATAACCCAATTTCTCACCTAGTTAGTCTTTACTCCAAATCATACAGTAACACTGAAAACATGTTAATAAATTCCTGGACTGTGTGTTTGTAGTTGTGCCCCCCTCTTTTACATTGTTTTCTCATACTACAAAAATGTTTGTTAGTAAATGAAACAGCAACATGCATTCTCCATTACACCATAATGATGATGTTTGTGGGCTGTAAGGTAACGTTAGTCAGATTTAACTATGTAAGGAGAAACACACAACTCTACAACGACACAGTTCGACTCATCTTACCTTATTTATCTGACCAAGGAACAAATCTTTGGCATAAGCGAGGTTTCTCGAATGAGTTTTTATGGACCTCCACTGCTGCAGATGTAACTTTAGCACTTCTTTCCCAGCATGCCTCACATCACAGGCGAGCAGCCGTTGTGCGATTTGAACAGATTTAGACAAGGAGACAAGTCGATTTACATGAATCATTTTTCTGACATGAACCTCCAATCCCTGTAGTGCACGGGTGCAATCACAACTGCGTAACCTTTCTATGTCATGTTGAGACACACAGCTGTGTAGACTTTCAATGACCCTCGTAAATATTGAATTTCATTTCATCAAATATGAGCAGGCTGGCAAGGATTTCCAGCACATCAGTTTAAAAACATATGCACAAAGGATCCTTTGTCTTTGCAATTTATTGATTCAAGGTTCCTAGCAGAATTCCATAAAATGTCAATGCAGTGTTAGATCCACCTGTCAGCAGATCACCAGCTTTCTGACAGACAGGAAGCAGCAGGTGAGGTGGGGAAAACTACATCCAGCACCCGGTCTATCTATGGGAGGCAACAGTGGTGTGGTAGAGCAGTTGTCTCCCAACCAGAAGGCTGAAGGTTTGAATCTCGGTTCCTCTAGTCCCTTGTTGCCCCTGATGGTTAGAGCCATCAGTTGAGTTGGCGCCGCAGATGGCTGCCATCGGTTCTGTACCAGAAACAAATTCCTTGTGTGTAACATACTTGACCAATAATGGTGATTATCTTATCAGCACAGGTGGGATGTGTGCTCTCCCAGCTGTTGTTCTCCCTTTATACCAATGACTGCACCTCAGGAGACCCTTCTGTAAAAATCCTGAAGTTTGCAGACGACACAACAGTCATTGCCTCATTCAAGACAGTGTCGAGTTGGCCTACAGACATGGGGTCAAACAGCTGGCCCTCTGTTGTGGTCATAACAACCTGAAGCTGAAGACAATGGATTTTAGGAGGAGTCCCCCACCCTATCTCCACTCACTATACTCTGTTTCAGTCATGGAGTCCTACAAGTTCTTGGGCTCCACAATCTCTTGGGACTTGAAGTGGACAACCAACATCAACACCATCATTAAAAAGTTGTTTGGCTCAGCAACCAAACAGGATAGGAACAAACTCCAGCAGACAGTTGAGACTGCAGAAAGAATCATCGGTGCCAGCCTTCCCTCCATGGAGGACCTGTACACCTTACGGGTCAAAAGGAGGGCAGAGAAGATTTTTCTGGACCCCTCACATCCTGGACACAAACTCTTTGAACTCCTGCCCTCTGGATGGCGTTACAGGATACTGTGCAGTGTCCTGTAACTGTGTCCTGACACAGTTTCTTTCCCCAGGCTATTACACTGATGTACAGCTAGTCTATGTTTGCTCTTTTAACTTGTATATACAGTATTTGTATTTATTTTGTTTTTATTGCTGTGCACATCAGGGGCCATTGGGCTGGAGTCAAATTTCTTGTATTTTTGATAACACCTGGCACTTAAGTTTATGATTATGTTTATGAGTATCATGTTCGTCAACTATTATTGACAGGATTTTTGAATATCCATCTTATTAATGTAGATGTGTGCCCACAATCCAAAATGTCCTTCACTAAATATGACAACCCACAAAACAAATTCTGTATTTGAATATATCATATTTTATAAATTGGTTACCTAATTGCTTAGTTAGTGTTTAGGAATTTTATTTTTCATCACAAAGATCTAAAGCACATAGATTTATAGCTGTTCAAATTGTTCTTCACACTACCAGGAAAAACATTATTAGGAGAAAATAATTGAGTATTAAAATATAAATATTGAGTATTATTTAAAATAGGCTGATTCTAAAAATGATGTTTAACATAGTAGCCTATGCATTATTAGTTAATTATCCTGGTGCAGAATTTAAATTCCACTGAGTTTGCAGAATAAATAAATAAATCCGTCTCAGACCATAAATATAGAGGATATGACTTCCTCGGTAGCCTTTTCTAAATGTTGGGATCAGAGGAAAATTTCTTAATTTCCCAGCAATCCTATTATGTTTTATGTGTTCGCTTAGCTGTTGTGGTGTTTCCAACAGCACATGAACATAGCAAAACAGCACAGATACACCCAGTGGATTGCACAATGTACAAAGCAACTAAGCGCAGAAGGCATAATAAAGACTGCAGCAAAATGATGTAGAACTTGGTCAGATTTAACACAGTGTAAAAATTCAGAGAAGTAAAAAACATATATCATACAATTTATAAATAGAAATAAGAAAAATAAACAGCTAAATAAACAGCCACCTGTGTAAGCAGCCTATCAGTGAATGTAAAGCTGCGCAAACTAGTCTTTGCTGGCAACAGAAAGGAAGTCCTGTGTAAGCCCCTCCCAGCCACATGATGACGTCCTGCTGACACTATGGCCTTCAAAGTTGGGGTCTGCCCCCTAGTGGATAAGGCTTGCAAAGACGGAAAGGCTTCACATTTTGTTGGAGATTGGACTTTCATTAATGGGAAAGAAGTTTTCCTTCAGGGATAATTTCATTAGGAATATAATACTGCCATTCTCATAAAAACGAGGGTTGAGGCATGGAAACATTGCTTCCTGATGTAATAGTCAGGCCAGTATCTATATTACCATATCATGCAGCTTCTTACTTTTAACCTTCTATATCCTTAAGGAAGGCTTATTTTGTAAGCTGAAAGGAGCAAAGTGAGGAACTTTTTTTCTCTCATATTTGAAAGTAA